CGAGAATTGGTCATGGAAGAAGAAAGAAATGTTGATGATACTGAGGAAGCTACAGTTCAAATAAAAGATACGAAATGGACCGATCAGAGGCACGAGCATATCTGAAAAAACAAACAACTTTTTGTCCAAGCTGTCCTGATCAACCTCAACTTTGCAGAGAATGTTTGAATGTTATACACTGCGAATAATTTTGTTAATAAACCATTTTTATAAGAATTCAATAGTTTCATTACCTCCTGTAGAATATTTGTCGAAATATTTTCGGAAATCCTTTGTAAGTAGTCAAATCAGCGTCACCCGAATTACGGGTGACGTGGCCTGATGAGAACTTTTGCTGTCACCCGAATACGGGTAACGCGGCAGTCAACGTGTTAACCAACATTTGAAGAAGGTGTTCGAATTTGTTCAAACACAGACTATACATATAGTGGAATCTTTATTATCTGGGCAATGCAGAGTGACATTAACGATGAATCTCGAGGATCGAATCGAAGACGTCGCACGCGTCCGTGGTCGGTTAAAGAAAGCCGGAGAGTTGCGAGCCGCGAACAGCAAATATTACCGAGGATTATTGACATTTGGTGTTGCACACCAGACACCGATTGTTCCGCGGATGTTTCGCCGGGATTACGTTTGTAGGAATTCCACGGTGACGCGTGTACACAGCGGCGAACACGGCAAAGCGAAAACCTACACGAAACACCTTCCATTAGACGCTTAATGCAAGCGCCTAACTTCATCGCAATTAGAACGCCGCCGCCGCTGCAGCGCTGGCTCGGTTGCAATTTCCTTTCGAGTACACGCGGCCGCGTTTCGAATAGCAAATACGTGCCCAGATTTTATCACCGGCAGAGATCCGATCGCCCGACGAACGCCTCTGTGCTCGCAACCGGTGCCCTGCGCCCGCCGATCGGCCACTAATTAGATCTCTGTTCTTCGTTCGAATCGCGGTAAATCCTCGTCGCTTGCACCCTTCGCCGTTAACTGACATCTATGGAAACGCCGCTGCGCATTTCGTCTGCCACATATAACACAGTGACGAACCAGAAACGTAAATCGGCACCGATTGCTCTACAGACAGTTGGTATCGCTTTCGTTTCGATCGTTGCGCATCGTCCCGCTCTTTGAACGCTAAATACAGTGAACACTATAGCTAAAAAGTATCTATTGCTTCGTAAGAATGACAAATCTGGATTAATTCGGTTCTCTTCTCGTTTCCATTAAAATGTATGTTTGAATTAAGAAATTTGTTCAATTAATTTTCTGCGAAAGAATCTTTGCAATTTCAACAATCTCGAAATGAGGAATATGAAATCGGTCATTTTTTTTTACCGGCACGGAGCAAAATGTGTTCAGGTGAAGGATATTTTGAGCCTAGGGATGAGATCAAGTTCTCAACTGTATACTTTTAAATTCGAATCAATTTCAATAAACAAGTTTCCCTTCACGGATTTCAATTTCTGTACAAAAGTAATAAAGTATAAAAAAATAAATACATAATATATACAAGTTGGTTTCTCGAATCATAGACCTGTAGGTTTGAAGCTGTGAGTATTAAAGATGTTTGTGAGGAATCATTGATAGTCCGTACAAATATAGTATTTTTAATATAATTTGAACACAAGCTAGATTATTACTTTTAATACTCATCTAATTCTCTAATATAACTTGATCTTATACCACCACAGTATATGTATACGGGGGTTTGAAGAAAATTAAATTGCACGCGCAGAAGGATATAAAAAATTGTTTTTAATCATAATATTTAGAAAATAAACAAATATTTATTGTGTTTCAATATAATGAAATAAGCAACATCAAATTTTAATGCCGCACCGTCAGATCAGAGCTATAGATATTTTTGCAAAACTGTTTTCGATATTACTCGTTGCACTCAATTCTCTGCGAAAAACTCAGTTCGGAATACAAATTTTGTAAACAATCATTGGCAATGTCAGTATCAGAAATAGTGTCAACACGCAGATTAGTTGTATGTGTAGGACAGCGACTATTTCGTGTTTTCTTTTTTTGGAAAAATACGTATCGAACTTTTAAATGCTTCCAAATGTGTGAGTACACGATAGATAGATTCCTGAAAAACTGTATACATACAGTGTGTAAAAAAAAATACCGTGTACACAAAAAGATAGTGAATTGATTGCATGCGCGTAAACCCTTGTACAAATGCTTTTAAACGCGAATCATATAAAAATATTAAGTCGATATATTATTGACTTAAAAATACTTTTAGGAATTACAGCTTTCACTTTGGGAATTTTTGTACACGGAAAGCGAGTTTGTAATATGGTAAATCCTTTATGACTGTATTTCAATAGAAACATGACCACGAGATCAATACATGAGTTTTGTCTTTTAATACGACCATTTTGCAGAGATATTTCAGCTAAAACCAAACGTGTACAAAAAGATTTTAATCTTCTTCTGAACCGTGTTTGACCAAAAACACGTTGAAAAATCCGTTCGAAAACAGCACTGCGTGTGAATTCAAACGAAATGAAACATTACGACGCGTAAAAGATTATGAGCAAATATTTATGGTTTATTTGATGTTATTTATTATGTAAAAAGATCTATAAATAAATCTTTTAAATTCATCGTTTTCGTCGCGTTTGACCTGTAATCCGCTAAACATTATAGTCAGATCGCGGAACTTCGCACATTTACAGTACGTAGAAACTTTCAAAAACTACTAAACAGGGAAAATAGTGAAATATGCTAAAATCAGTCGAAAAAAGATTTTATTCCCTTTCATTCTACCAACTTTTGCCAAAGAAAAAAAAAGTGAACTTGTATAAAATCTTGTTTCTTAATTGTAATTTCCAACTTTTATCTTTTCTTTTGAAAAGATTTTTATTATGGATATTGATATCCGAAAATTGTTTCTTTTGATCGTCCTCAGTTTTTGTGAAATGTAATTTCGATGAAACACTGAAATTATCAGCGCTATATTTTTGTTATGACATTGTAAACACGTAAATATGTTTAACCAATTTTTACAAATAGAACAAAGCGCTTTTTATATTGAATTAATCGTGCATTAAGAATGACTATTTTAGTGATATTGACGCTTCGTCACCTTTTCAAACAAAACAGCTTTCTAAAAATTGGACCAAATGACTTGAACTTTTTGGCATACTAAACCGATTAGTATATGCTATACCATGAATAAAAAAAATTTCGCAAAAATTGAAATTGGTTGTAATGACAAAAAAATTATATTTTTTCAACCTTTTTATCTGAACCCATAACAAAAACGTAAAAAATCGGTTATAATCGATTTTCATGAACTACTTTGATTGATTTTGTGTCAAACGACCTCGTTGAAATTTTTAGCAATAAGTAACCGAGATCTCTACCATACGCATCCTTTAAATTATTGTTATAGGCTCGGATAAAAAAGTTGAGCAATCAATGCTGTTTCTGTATAATTTTTCTCCTCATTGTTTAGCTAAGCTAAGTCAGTCTAACATTCTAAAAAATCTAGCAAATAGTTCGAATTTTAAAATAGTTATACTGTTCTAAAAGATGTCAACGTACATTCTGCAACGACTGCAACGTCGCCTGCGAAAGAGGCTAAACGACCATTGCAAGCGTAAACGACAAGACTTCAGGATTTTCCAGAAGGAAAAAGTCGGTTTTCCGATATTGTCGAACCCATGCAATCCCCGAATAAAAAGCAATAAACAATGCCTGTTTTGCTAGCTCTTCAACGGAGAGTGGCCTCTTAACCGCGCAAGGAACAGCGCATCACGATATTTACGCGAGGCAGACGCACGCAGGTGTCCCTAACGACGACCTCCATCGTCCTCGGACGGGGCTGTTCGCGCTCAACGTCGATTTACTAAATTCTCCGAGTGTAGCCGGGCGCTCGTGCCTCTGCCGGCACGATGTCCCACTTTATCGCGAGGGAGCAGGACAGCCATTAAGGACTTCCAACGGAATTCATTAACCGGAAGCTCCTCGAGAAATGAATTTCGTTTGGGCGAGTGGGCGCGTGCGCGCTGCCCGTCCTGTCCCGGCCCGACCCGGCCCGACCCGGCCCGACCCGGCCGCTGAAAGACGGCGCGAGTCCTCGCAACGAACTTACGTTAAAATTAAGTGGATCACCTCCTCGAGGACGTCGTGGCCCCGTGTCCTGCCAAATGGTGTCTCCGCGAGCTCGCAAATGGTCCTTAAAAGACAGTTCTTGCCGTCCCGCCAGCCATGCCTGCGCACACCGAACGTTTCAATTTTCATTTCCGACCAGAGTTCTTCCCTTCCCGGTCGTGTATTTATTTTTGCCGGTACCCGCGCCCCGCTTCTCTCGCTTCCACTCATCCCTGTCCTCTTTCCCGCCCGCCCGTACCCGGCGCCGGTTCTGTTCCCTCGTATTTCAAACGCGGCACGGTAGTAATTTTATTAGGAAGGAAGTTTCACGGCGAGCCGAGTACCGGCCCGAGACGATATCGGTTTTACAAAAAACGAACGAAAAGAGAATTCTTAAACGCGTTAAGTCATCCCTCTCTCGTTTCCCGAGGTTAAGGAATTCATCATCCTCCCGCCGTGCCGCGTCTCGCCGCTGCCACCGTGCACCGCTGAAAAAAATCACCGCAAAACTCACCCCTCCTGCCATTCCTCTCACCCCTCCACGGGCCGTCCTTTTTTTCTCGGGCCGTCTACGTTAGCGACGCGGCCGCTGCGCTCGTCGAAACCGGCTAACGATCCATTTCTACGGACGACGCACAGCGGGGCGAAGTGACGAACTCGTGTCAAAATCAAAGAACAGTTGATCGAAATGAGATAATGCTATGATATGTTTTTGAAGCTGAAATGTCGCGGAATAAGGCACAAGAGAATTTAATATGAATATTTCTTAACCTCTGCAATTTATGTTAAACTTGAAATATTCCAAATTGTGATTTATCCAGTGCAATGTACGGTTGGATTCTTCTTACGACGTGATATACAGGGTGTCCCAAAATGATGGTACTACCGAGATGTGAGAGGTTCCTGACATCATTTGAAGTAACTTTTTCCTTAGGGAAAATACAATCCGCGGCTTCGTTTACGAGTTATTAGCGAAAAACGATGACCAATGAGAGGCGAGATCAGCTGGCGCGAGCTGGCCGAGCCAACGAGCGGTCGAAGCCCAATTCCGCTGATTGGCTCGGCCGCCTAGTGCTAGCCGCGCTCACTTCTCATTGGTCACTGTTTTTCGTTAATAACTCGAAGATAAAGCTGCAGATTGCATTTTCGCTAAGGAAAAAGTTACTTCAAATGACCTCAGGAATCACCCTTTTCCGGGTGGTAACATAATTATGAAACACCCTGTTGACACCGACAAATTCCTAATTCGTAATTTATCTCATTACTTATCCTGTTACATTTGCATCTTTTTTCGGCAGTATTTATTTACATGTATTTTCACAGTTGCCCGGTTTTTTACATAATAAAAGCACGAGTTCGTCGGTAGTATAATAGAAAGCTACGTTTGTTTATGTGTATGTACGTTGCTGCTAATCACTTTTTAACGACAGTTTTACTCGATTGTTGTTAGCGCGTGAATGAAAAGAGATTCAATTATACCTCTATCGAATAAACACTCGATCCTTATAATTGGACGTGCGAGATATCTCGTCCGTAGTAGCAAAAGGGTTGAAAGGTCAACTAGAAGCGGAAATACAATAATTTTAGGACACGCTGTATATCATTTCCCGAAGATTTTGACATGCCGATATCGAATCCAGCCGCAAAATTTAACCACCATGTCAAGATTAAAAAGGAATCGATTTAAGTGACAAAATTAACTAAATGGCGATATTTTCGTTTAAATAATTTGTCGACCCGCCGAAATCTTTTCAAAAAAAATCCCGAAGTGGTAGATAAATTTTGCGACTGAATTTGAAGTCACAGCATGTCATTAAGAAAATGAAACTGCACAGTTTGGAATATTTTAAGTTTAACATAAATTTTCGAGGTTGAAATATGTTCATAGTATATTCTCTTTACTTTCGCCTTATCCCGCAACATTTTAGCTGCAACGTAGAAACAGATCAACGCTTTATCTCGTTTCTATCAGAAGTTCTTTGATTTTGATACGACTTCGTCCCTGCGCCCCACTGCGCGACGCTGCGTCTCCCTCGTCCTCGGCACACCGAATCAGCCCTGACACTTTCCTAACTTTCAAAGCGGACTCGTTCCCTTGTTACCTACACTTTGCCTCTTCCCGTATCCACGGCGCACTAGTAATTTCCTTACGTCCCAATTAATTTACGTTCAAGTCCCTGGTCCCGTAGCCTCGCTCTTTGATCTTCGGGGCCGCGATACTCGCTCAATCTTCGGCCGAGAACGTCTTTTGTTGCCGCGGCACGAGCAATTGCATTTCCCAGCGATCCGAGGGACCGCGTCGCATCGCGGCCTCGCGCAGACCCGTTTCCGCTTTGCTTCAGTGACACGACGACCGCGTATCGCCATGTTCGTGGCGATGAACGGTGCCGGCGCGGCGTGGCTTCTCTGGCAATCCGATGCAGTGATCAACGGAATTGAAACACAGTGGACTGAGAAAATTGATGTTGGGGCACGCTAATCAATTTTCACCCGTTTGCTATTGCAGATTTTCACGCGGACCGTGCAAGCAGCATACGAACGACCGAATTTTTTGTCACTGCATTTTTTAGAATTTTCTTTAAATAATCGATATACTGGACTGTATAGCGCAGGCGCGATCGTTGTGACAATGTCTGATAAGATTTGCCGGTGTCTACGAGGTGTTCTATAGTTATGTTAACACTCGGGAAGGGGCGATTCCTGAGGTCATTTGAAGCAACTTTTTCCTTAGCGAAAATGTTCTACGAGGCTTTGTTTACGAGTTATTAACGAAAAATAGTGACCAATGAGAGACAAGATCAGCTGGCGCAAGGCGGCCCAGCCAATCAGCGGAACTGGGATTCGACCGCTCGTTAGCTTGGCCATCGTGCGACAGCTGAGCTCGCCTCTCAATGGTTCCTGTTTTTCGTTAATAACTCGTAAACGAAGCTGCGGATTGCATTTTCGCTAAGGAAAATGTTACTTCAAATGACCTCAGGAATTACCCCTTTCCCGGTGTTAACATAATTATGGAACACCCTGCAATAATAGTACATCAATAGTACATCAGAACCAAATTTTCGAAGCGCGTACAGTGGTCAATAGCGGTCAAAGTGTCGATAAGAATTTGAGAAATGTATTTCTCGGTTACTATACGTGCGAACGACCCTGCAGAACAAAAAGGTGACAAAAGTCCATCGGCAGGCGATCCATGTCCTCCGGGCCTCATCTTCCGCAATACGGTAATTTCTCCCGAAAATGTCAAAATTCGGTTGGCTGTGAATTTGCCAATGCTAGTCCTACGCCTACGTAATTTATTGCTACATCGACGCTAAGGGTCGATGGAGTCGGTCAAGCGTGTGACGCGGCACGCGCTGCGAATTCCCGGAAGGCAATACAAAATGGTCTGTTTGGATGTGAGTCCGGTAAGAAAAACCGCGGAGCTACAAAGTACGTAATAAGTACTAGCCACGTGACCGTCGAATCGTGGCATGTGGCCTCCGAGTTGCCTTCAAATCGTGGCAAAATATTAGAGATAAAAAAGTCAAGTCACCGTTTTTATTCTAGCATTACTATGTGTAGCGACCAGTCGTGCGCACAATAAGATCTTCAGTCCTCGTGCAAACGGCCAGCGTAATTTATGACTCTCCTTCGAAGAAGCTATTTTTGAGAAGACAAGTTCCAAACCTTGATAGCACATGTTTGCAATAGAGTCTTTTAAGAAATTCCTCAATAGCTAAAGAGATCGTCATAGATTAGGAGAGTTTCCGAAGGGTACTCGAAGCGGACCCAGCGACCCAAAGGCCATGTGGTCCGACGCGGGTGACCCGGAGGAAAAGTTCCACACGTTGTCACGTACAACTCATCATCCCCTCCGATTATCACGCCGTCCCGAAAATACGCAAAGAGCGTAAG